TAACAACCATTTTGCTTCAGCTTCACTGAAGCGAGCAGGAGGATCCGAACTAATTCTCCCTCAAGATGTTCGATGGAATTCCGTGGTTGATTGTTTTGAGCAATTTATTAAGAACTGGCCTATTCTCATAAAAAATTGTGAAGAAAACCATGATAAAATAGATGGAAGTATCTCATCCAAAGTATCTAACATTGGATTAAAGAGGAATGTAGAGGATATGCTCAGTATACTAATCCAGAGCTTTCTCCTTTTCCAGAGCCTGATTGGTGGGGAAAACGAAATCCCCTCCACCAATCATTTTTTAATTTTTCAAAACCCGGGGGCTGCCACTGGCTAGCCCATAACACAGGTTTAAACCAGTTTCTGATCACTTAAATAGGTTTATGTGTAACTTCTGTCCTTACCCTTCTGACTTTACTGCAGCCCAAAGTGGTTAATTCTTAGTCCATCAAGTTAAACATTAGGCTTCCCTATAGGTCTTTACCTGAATCACTAACTTGGGTTAAATCTGTAATCTTGTCTTCAGTAGGATTTTAACTTGTGTTAGCTCACCTGGGCTAAGAGCAAAGCTTTTCTTTGTAGTGAAGATATGAATTTGACCATGCTCAGCCAATATGTTGCTAAAGGATGCTTTGTCCTCACTAGGCACTTAATGGTGATTAAAGTGTGTTTATTATAATTGACAACACCTTATATTTTCAGTATAGTTTGGGTATAACAATATTGCAGGAACCTAAGCAAATAATTTCAGGTAAACAATTTAAAAACAAACAGACAAGCAGGCAAACAACCCCCACCCAAGAACTAAAACTCTTCTCTTGAAAAGACACATTTCAGAGCAATCCAGAAAGTTATATATGGTTTGGTAAATGAGAACAAGAACATTAACTGCAGTAGCTGAAGGATAAAAACACAACTCAAATTATTATAGACACTGTCAAACCAAAGCTGGCTGAATTAGAAACTACTCTATCAGAGGGAACAAAGATGCAAATCATTTGCAGTATTAAATGCAAATGGATCATATTTATCTAAAATGACAGACTATTGCCCTTTATGGGCCTATTAACTGAATTATTTAAGTTTTATGGGGCTTTATACATTTGCTACATTCAATAAAAACACTAAGGAATGTGCGTGATAACAAATTCAGGTTCACTAGAAACCCCTCTCCCCCCTCTTCTGGATTTATTGAAGACATCACTGTCTTTTTCTGGTCAAAAAGAGATATTTTGGTGGATACCCACCAAGGATACTGTCTACAGGAAATGTAAAGCAGCATGAGCACCATCTGTGCAATGGTGTGTGTGTGTTAATGATTATGACAATGAGAGGCAACAGCAACCCAAGTTTTCCATGAAAGTGATCCTCACCAAGGTGCAAGCCCAACTCTACTGTAAAGCCCTACAGAAAATGATAATTTTTACTGGTTTTCAAACTATCCAACACAATTTAATAGAAAAGGATATCTTTCCCACTGTCTATAATTCTAGATCTACTTTGTTCCCATATATACTCATATTTAACACTCTCCTAGTGTGAAAGTTTGTAAGCTGCACAGTAACCCATGGCAGTCCAAAACAGTCAACAATTATGTCCTCAAGAGATTCAATACATCTATTTGTGTTCATGATATACACATCTTAATAGAAAATGGGTCTTATCTTCATTTCTGGAAGGCCAAATATTTCTCTCTCCATTCCTTTTTGTAATTCTGTCTACTGTCAGTTAGTAAACATTTTAATTTCTTAGTGAGGTCAAATCTCTTTTGCTCAACTGTATCCAAATAAAATTGTACATAGTATTTAAATGGTACAAAACAGAAAGTGGAATTATTTTAAATTAACTTAAAATAAAAAAAGTTGACATTGGTCCATTAATTGTCCATAAATATATATGGATAGACATGATTATGCAATACAGTGGAGTCGCATCTTACGCGGGGGTTAGATTCTAGAGTCAGTGCGTAAGGCAAAAATTGCGTATAGTCAAAATTACCCTTGAAAATCAGCTGACCTGCACCAAACTCCTGCCCAGCCAGCGTGCACAGCTTCCCAGCAGGGCTGCTCCCAATGTAGCTGCTTGGCCCAGTGCACAGCGCTGTAGGGGGGCAGCTGCAGGGTGCATGCATGGTAGGTCCCAGGAGCTGGCTGGGGGTGGGAGGGAACCGGGGGTCTTGCCCAGTGGTACAGCCCGCTCCCTCCCCCATCCAGATGCTCCCACCCAGAGCAGCCTGCACCAAACTCCTGCCTGGCCAGCGTGCACAGCTTCCCAGCAGGGCTGCTGGCCCTGTGCACAGTGCTGCGGGGGGCAGCTGCAGGGTACACGCATGGTAGGTCCCAGGAGCTGGCTGGGGGTGGGAGGGAACCGGGGGTCTTGCCCAGTGGTACAGCCCGCTCCCTCCCCCATCCAGCTGCTCCCGCCCAGGGCAGCCTGCACCGAACTCCTACCCGGCCAGTGTGCACAGCTTCCCAGCAGGGCTGCTGGCCCCGTGCACAGCTCTGCGGTGGGGAAGCTGCAGGCTGAATACAAACAACTGACACTCCGGGGCATACGCGTATGATGAATTCGTGTAAGTTAAAAGCACGTATGATGTGACTCCACTGTATGCGAAAGTCTTTCTGGCACTTCTGCTCATGCAGTGCACTACTTCAAGACTGATTATAAATGAAGCATACCACATGCTGCATTACATTGTTCTTAATTTGTATGTGGACCTCTGTATAGATCTGCCTAGATCTGTAAGTGGGCTGTATGTTGGAAATGGTGCAGCGGAATACTCCTGTTCATCTGCAAAGGAGAGAACATCACACTCTGTGTACTTACTCTGGTTAAGGAAAATGAATAAAGCAGTTGATTTTACTGAAGCCTGAAGAAACAGTTTCACTTTCTAAAGACTCCACTGCTAGGTGTGTAGACTTCATTTGTGGTTATTTCTTTGTCACTGAAAGGGGTATTTTGGCCTTTTGTCTGATTTGCTTTTGCATGATGAAAAATGCTTTTTGATTTGGTCCTTTTCTTCAAAGCACTCAGTGCTTTAGACTTAGTATATATAGAAGACCCTCTACAGATCCAAGACAAGGATGACGGTTAACAGCCTTGCTTCACTGGTAAAACAGAACTTTCTACCATAAGGGTAAAATTCATATGTGCAAAAGAAATAGCTTTCTTACAGGGTGCTCTGAGATTGAAAAATGAACCCCCTCAAGAATTAATAGCTCTCACATATGTCACCCTGTCCCACAACATAAGCCACATGGCCTTTTAACATACAGAGAGCAGGGCATACATTTAAAAAACCACAAAAGTAAAACTCCACTAAACTAAAACGTTTCATAGCACACACAATTCGCCCCGTGGGGAAAGCATGAGAGACAACAAACCATGTGACGGATGCGATTCCTGTTGTTTAATATACTACTAGAAAGTGCTCAGATACTCTAATGATGAGGGCAGTATAAGAACTCAGACACAGTAGAACAGAATTTGCCACTACCCTGAGGTGTTAAGGAGGAACTACCTCTAGACATTTTTCTTAATAAGAGTTTGCTTTGGTGAGTTTCAGATGCTTGGTCACATGTCACTTGGTATTTTGAAAAATTTAGGCTAGAAGGGCCTGCTTCCCTGAGATTAGGAAAAGACTTTAGAGATTAAAAAACTATTTTCAAGGCAGAATTTAAGGGCCTGATCCAAAGCCCAATTAAGTCAATGGGAATCTTTCTACTGATGTCCAGAGGCTAAGCACAGAACTTGCAACCCCCAGACAGGCTATCCTGGCTTTTAGGTACCTTTGTAGCCATCTACTTTGGCTTTACCTAGGGGTTGGAGACCCTTAGCATAATTTACACTCTCTCAGGGCCTAACAGTGAAATCTTTGGGCTGACCTAGCACCACAATACTGCCCATAATCTCTGCAGTGCAGTGTACAGTCTCTTGCCATTTCTAGCCTCATTACTTAAACAACCCATGTATTAGCTATTGCAAGGGGAACCCTGAAGAGCAGCCCTGTCACTATGCTTTCCAGTGCCTTTCCAACAGGAAACTGGGATCTTTACAGTCCCTTTATGCCACTCCAGTCCCTTTTACCTGGCATGGAGACTGGAGCAGGGATGAAAATCTCACTAGGATGGATCTCTATTTCCCTTTGCATGTCTAAACAGCAGAATTTTAGCTGAATGCCAAAAATGCTACCTACATGAAGGTATTTGTATAGCCTTCTGCAACCAAGATGTAAAATGGGGTCCAAACCAGCTAAACAGCCAGCCAGAAAACTGCCACTTAAGCGCTCAAAAGAAAATACCATTCCATCCCTTCCGTATATTAGATTAGGCCATTAGAGCACAAAATCACTCATCCCAACTGCCAGCCAGTTTACAGTGCATACATAATTTTATAAGCAGGATCTATAACCTGAATGTCAATTAATCGTGTGTTGCCCTTTACTTTTTATTTTGCTTGCTCTGCTGAGATTAAAAAAAAATCCATAATCAACCCGTACTTCATTATCCAATGCTGTATTTATCTTTCACTTTAGTTAGAGTATGAGGGTAAAATGAAGCATATAACCACCTGAGCTTTTCTGGTCTCCACATTATTTGTTTCTTTTTGAGCAGTATAAAGGTGACATACAAATTTCACTCCAAAACATCTGTTATCAACGCAGCAGTAGCTCCCAGATGGTTTGGACTAAATCCCAGTATCAGCACTTAGCATTTGTCACAGAATACCAGGGAACCTCCTCATCACACTTTTAACTGAAAAGGAGAGGGTTTGGTGTGATCTTTGGACCACTTACCATGGCTTTGTGCACTACCAGTGGTCCACTTCCTCTGAACTAAGTGAGGCATGTCAGCTTGAATTTTTTTAATTAAACCCATAGATTTAATAGTTTGCACATGGGATAACTCAGCAGTTCTTTAATTACCTTTTTTTTCTTGACCATCTTCACTATTTGATTCCTTTGGAATGAAGATCTCTTTAATAGCAATCAAATCATTTTTCACAATTTCCAATTGCTCTCCATTACATGAAGTTAAAAATGACTGAATCTGAAAAAGAAATGATGATGATCAGTCATAGCATAATTAGACTTCATTGCCTTCATTGCAATGGCTGATTTGAGCGTGAGCTGTCTGATGCTATGCTGAGAAAGAGACATAAACTCCCATTATGAACTCATGTCTTTTATCTTGTTGGCTACAAGGGACCAACTCACAGGATCATAATAAATTCTAGTTTATTGAATGGGATATGAAGTTATCAATAAAAGTACTGGTCACCTTACCACATACACGCACTCACACATTCAAACCCATGCAGTATAGTGTATAGTAGCTGCTGTAGTTATTGTGAGAACACTGGTATATCTACCTATCTGAGGCCCTGGAGTCTGCTGTTGATGGTCAGCTTCCTTCAAGGTGATGTCTTCTCCAGAAGGGGGTTGCCTACTTGTCCTTCTTTCTCGGTAGGTCAAGTGCTGGATGAGAGGGCACCACTGAGGGTCATGCTTCACTGCCTTTTATCCCTTTCTGGCAGACTTGTGTGATCCCCCAGCATCACCTTGGCTACCCAATCCAGAAGTCGCTGTCCTATGTGGGTCTTGAATAGTACCTGACAGCTGTTACTCACAGGGGTCTCTGCCTACTGGTACCTGAAGTTTCAGAAGTCCACCCTTGACTTATTGACTTAATGGCTGTATTGTCATGGGTTACAGGAATAGTCCACAGGGTGAGTGCTAAGTTCCAGGAATCAGTTCTTTAGCCTGATTAGCTTAAAATGGAGTTCCATCGAGCCTTTGGCTAGGCTATTGTCTACTGATGATCATCATTCACTTGCATTCACTCAACAGATTTTAGTACTTTACAATTACAATTTCAATGAAGTTTTAACAATGGTCCAGGGTGTAACTTCATTCTACAGGGAATACATTCCCCTTAAGAGTTTAAAAGTATAAAATATAAATAAAAAATTCCGTAGTAAAGATGAGACAGATGAAATATGAAAATGCACTGTGAGAAATATATAAAAATGCAATGTGAGGTAGTGAAATTAAAAAGCTACTGGGAGCAGTGAGTGAGTTAAGTTAGCACAGGATATATTTACAGTCTTTGGAGTGGATTTTTTAGTTCTTTTGTTTTCTTTAGTAACACTAAGCTTAATTGATATGTAGATGTAGTTTCTAGGTTTCTTCTACAGAAAGCCACTTCAGCTTTCTGGCTTGCTCTGAGCCTTGCCACACCCATGCAATGAGTATGCTAGGTCTCTGCCAATACTGAGAAGGAAAACAAATGCACAAAATGTTTCAGGCAAGAAGGGGCTTCTATTATACCAATGTCCAGAAGGGAAACGTACAAAAGGGGCTTTCTGCTACAATCTAACCTACTGGATTACTTTGTCAATGGGCCACCATAATGCCTTTCCAATATTACAATATCTTCAGGTCTCTTTCTACTCCCAGAACACATACTATGGATTTTAAAAACCTGTAATTTAAAGGTGAAACCTTTATATGGGAAGGTTGTGGTGAAGGTTATGAGTAGGAAGAGAATACAGGCAGGCTCACTGTCCACCTGGACACTTGTGGCAGGGAACATCAGAGTACAAGTCCTGTTCCCTGTCTCCACTGGTCTTACCCACAACACGGACAGACAGTCCAGCTGTTCTGAATAACTCGGTGCTCCTGGCAGATCATCATCCCTTAGAGAGTCTGGCTGAAGCCCATGAAAGGTTTTGAAAATTAAAACTACAAACCTTGGGACTGGCTGTTAAAAGTCTGTGCTCCTCACACACAGCTCTCTGTCCTGCCAAATTCCCACAAAGTTCTCTGACAAACAGCTTGTTTCCTACTTCAGCTAGGAATCTCTTTTTAGTGTCCACACTGTTTCTGGCTCAAATCACTTAGGCTTCTAACTCTGAAACTCCAGTAGTTGAAACTCCAGTACTAAACACACCTTTTCCCAAGAGATTAACACATTTTATTATAAAGGAGAGCAGACTTTAGATTAACATGGTCTTAACAGACTCAAAGTAACAGTCTTGGGTGTGATTAAAATTCAGATGCTTTAATTACTTAAAAAAAAGGTTTGTAGTTCATTGCCTTAAAATAGCCTCTAGTTTTGCCTTTATAATTTTGACTTAGAAGTCACTTCAAACATAAAAGTTAGAGGGAGAGTAGGGGCCAGATTCTATTCCACCTACTGGACAACTAAATGGACTTAGCTACCTAGGTGTGATTCTGTTGCACTCAGGTATTGAAAATTCATTAATGCATCTACTTTTGTAATAACTTGTCATCTTATCCTTAGGATGGAGTCACAAAAAATCAGCAAGGAAGACCTATCAACCTTTTGCATTAACTGTTTGCCAAGGATTCTAACTGGGTAGAACAGAATCTGGCTCTAAGCAACAAGCTTTTATTAACCTGGACCTATACTTACTTGTAGCAGAAAAATAGGAGGCTGGTGTTAGACCATTTTAGAAAGTGAGGGCCTTTACGCTAAATATGTTTAATGCCAGGGCTGTCCAATTGCATGTGGCCTGCAAAGTGTTAATTTGTGGCCTTCACACTCCTGCCCAGCTGCCACTGCCCTAATCACTCTGGCTATAGCAATATCTGGGGTCTCCTTTCCCTTCTCTGGCTTCTTTTTCCTGCCTGGTTCCAAGAGGAGGGCGGTGCAATGTGGCACAACACAGCCTATGGTGCAGCAGGGCAGCCTGCAGCTGGGCCAGACTGTGGGTGAGGCCAGGGTGACTGGGTTTGTGGGGTGGTGTGGGAGGTTGCGTACACATGCAATGCAGTATGGGATTG